TCTTTCCATACATTCTTTGCACAATTAGGCTAAACCAGACATTATTTCTTCACAGCAATTTAAGAATTACAACTGCTGGTACATTTTGTTTTGTCTTCAGTTTCTACTGACAAACACAAATAGCCAGAGGAAGGTCCTTTCTAATTTTCTCAGGAGAACAGCTCTACCAAAGAGATTATTGAGACATGTTCTCACTTTAGCTTTGCCCATAAAAATGTGGTTTTTTCAAGGATTCTTTCTCACCCACAGAGCCAACCACATGTTTTCACACGCAAGCAGCTGAACACAGTGGTTTAGGACAATGTTCTTTTTCCCTCAAGTGGCTTGCTCCCCCCCTAGGTAAAGCAAAATGTTCACTGTGTCTTCATGTGAATGACTGGTGTAAAATAACATGTCACACACTATAAAGGCACAGTAGCTTCTCCTCCATCTTCCCTCAGACATTCAAACAGTTAAAGCGAAACTTTGCTTACTCCAAGCCTTTGGCTTCTCTAAAGGTGCATGCATGCACTGATTTACCTGCCATAAATATGTAGACACATTCCCATTGCTTTCTGATACAAAGCTAGGAAAATCCCATTCCAAAGCCATCTTACTGCTTCACTGATGGACACCTTTGAAAACACATCAGATCACATTACATGAATGTGTTTGAAGATGATCTCTAAATTGCTGGGATTTGGGTGAAGGGTGTGGGAAGTTTTATACTTTGGCTGCATCTTCAGCACAGATTCCCCCCCCCCCCCCTCACTCTGTACTTTCCTTAAATCCTGTCACTGCTTGGAAAATCTCCTTTCTTAAACTCTAGAGGACTCCTCCAACATTAGGATCTATATTTTTTAAAAAAAAAACCAAAACAAGAGCAAGATTTTCAATAGCTTTTAGGCATTTAAAGGTGCTGGAGGTTACCTAGTGAGATCTTTGGAGGATGAGAGCGGTGCACCCAGGCATTCAGAAACAAACTGCAGGACAGAAAAAAAAGACCTTCAACTTCTCTCTCTCAGTACATAAATAATTTTTTAGAAAAGCTGTGTAGGCTGACACAGGCAATGAGCTGAAACACTGAAGGACTGACTATCCCAGGCATCCCTCATGCTACAGGGCAGGCTTGCCTTATGGTAATGGTATCTGATAGCAATAATCCAGCTGGATCCACTGCCAGGAGGCAGTTTGCATCAGCAGTCGCACACACAACTCTACCACATTTCTCATCAAGACTAATTTTGTCTGATCCCTCCTTCCTTTGGGAGCAGGGGTACAGATGATCCGTGCAGCCAGTGTCAAATACAGGACACTTCCCAGGTACCTGCAGCAGATCCCAAGACCCGTACAGATCACATGAGGCTGCCAGGGAGGCTCTGACCTCCTCCCATGAGGGCATTGGCCAAGTTCCATCTAGCTCAAAGTAAATAAACTCCCACCTTCCACCTCAGCTAGTCACAGGCACCAGCCCCAGCCAAAATCAAGAGATGAGAAGCAATTAGTCATTTCCAGACCATAATGTTTTGGTTATGATGAGTCAAAAAACACTAAAGGAAACACAGATGTAGTGAGATCACCTCATTTTCTGGAGACTCCCTATCTCTAGAAGCCTTGTTTGATCTCCCTCCAAACTTCCACGTGCTCATGCAAAAACATCTTGGGTGCTGTGTGGTCATGCCTGTTACACCACAAGTGCATTGCGTGATGCTGGACAGGGCTGAGGGAGCTCAGCACAAGCAGTGGGAGGTTGAGTTCACCTTGAGATGCTGGTATCTCCCAAAAAGAATTTCTTTTCAATTATTTCAAATAGCTCCCACTTGCACAACAAAGCCCACATTTTGTAATAAAAACAAGGAGAAAAATCACATCCAAAGGAATTTTACCTATTTCCCTTTCCACTTACTCTACTGAAGTTATCTATTTAAAAAAAACAAACCCCCCAAAACAGCCACCAGAACAAAAAAGTGGCCAAGAAGCTTATTTAATCACTTCATTCTTCAAAATCCATCCTGCCCTTCATACCTGTAGGTTTCAACAGCAGTCCTAGGTCATCCAGTATCTTCTAATTTTTTTAAAGGTTTCACTGCCTTTCTCTCTTCACATAGGCAATGTTTTTCATTTGGGAGAGATGCACAGAAAACTGCAAATTTTCCAGTAGCTGAGATTTTCCCCGTAAACTGAGGCAGGTGTTACCCTATTCGGCTACAGGAAGCCAGAGCTATTGCTAATTACGAGCTATGGTACAGAAGGGTACAGAAAGGGCAAAAGACACAAGAGTAGGGATAACCTCCCAAAAAAAGTCACTTGGGGTCTGTGAGCCCAGATGGAACTGCAGCAGGGTAAATGACTTTGTCCCAGCTGAGCCCCCTAATTGACCATGTGCAGGCTGTCTTTGCAGGCCAGTTCCATTGAGCTTTAAGCAGAAATACTGTGTCCTTAGGCTGTAATCCTTCAGCTTACAGCAAAGCAGCCAGCCGTGGGCTAAAAGCCACATTGAACTCTCTGGAGATGAAGCCTTTGCTGAAGTGCTTTGGTGAACAAGGATGAGCAACTGTGCTTGGGCTTTAGCTATGCTTACAAACTCCCATACATCTTGGCTCTAATTTTGCCACATGGCAGCTGGTTACATCCAAGGCCTTAAATGCCTGGGAGTGAAAGTGACTGTAGAAACTCAGCTGTGAAACATATGCTCCATCTAGTGTTTATTCACTAGTATTTCATTTTCTTAAATGGTTTATTTTGCTGTTAACACATAGTTCTGTCTTTTCTGTACTTCTTTTGTCTATTTAGGAACATTATTGAAAATATTAACCTTGTTTTAACTACCCAATTTTTATTTAGCCTCCACTTCCACCTTCAGAAATGGTGATACACTAATTCCCATTGAGAGATTAGATCTCATAGAGCAAAATTGAGAAGAAATGTTTTTAAAGAGCAGTGAGCATTTCTCCAGGTGTTTTGCTAATGCAAAGTGAACACAGAACTTTGAGCAGGAGTAAAACATCAAAGCTAAACAATACCAAATGATACCACCTGATGAATAACCTTCATCACAGCACAGAGCACCATCTCACCCCTGGACTCAGAGGGGCCCAGCTGCAAGTCCTGATGAGCAGTTTGGCAAAGCTCTGCCTGCGTGCCTGCATGGCAAGGCCTTTTCTAGCAGCTCAGGCTGGGTGCAAGGCATCTTTGCATGGTGGAAAAGCAGAAGGAGGGGACAGCATGAAGCCAGGCAATTGCCATGTGCATTTCAAAAGAGCAGGACTTGCCTACTGGACTCAGTTGTGGGAGAAACTGCAAAATACTCCAACTGTAACACACAAGCTCTTCAGGCCCACGCCCCTTCCCCCAGATTTGAACTCTTTTAAGGTGTTCCTGGTTGCTGATTTGCTGCTCACCTGCTAGTAATGCTGCTGCTGCAGGTGGAACAAGGGGTCCCAAACATATATTTTGATAAGGAAGAAAAAGAAAGAAAAAACAACCCTGTTCCGTTAACAGGGCTGGTGAGGCAGTGGGATGGGCCACCCAGTGCGAAACAGGGTCTGCAGTGGTGGGGACCTTTATAAAACAGTTGAACATCCCCAGAGAAAGGCATGGGTTGGCTGGTCCTGCCTGGAGGCAGCGATGGTTCAGACAGCTCCTGTTCAAGTTCTTGGTGAAGGCTGAGAAGATCAGAGCCCAGCTCAGGAGGAGAGCTGGCAAGGAGCTGCAGTGGAAAGGGAGAGTCCCTGGCACAAATTTAAGCTGCAGGAACTGAGCTCCCATTACTATGAAAAGAATAGCAGAAGGAGCATTAATAATTTAGCTTCCTTGGGCAGATAGCGTTTAAGAGATCCCCATATACCTCTGCCTGCTCTCCCCCTGCTTCGGAGCTCACAGCAGAGCTCCCCAACCCTTGTGTTGTGGCACTGACACAAGTGAGAAAGTGGCAAATTGCAGCTTGGGGATAGAAGGGAGTGGGTCCCTGCACAAAGAAATCGCAGAGGACACCATCCGAGGTGTGTGGAGCAGTGTAAAACTAAATGCATACAAGGACATTTGCTGTAACTACTATTGGACTATGAGCCTCCAATAAGCCAGACACAGGCCTGCTGCACGATGTCCTCCTGGGCAACTCACAAAGCAGAGCTAGTTTCCAGGGGTTTAGATCCAGTTTGCTGCAGAAAATGAGAACAGGTTGGCCCCAAGAGAAAATGTACAAAACAAAGAAACATTTTCTGTCAACAGTGGGTTTTGTTGTGTCTTTCACAGGTGATGGCCGTGCTGCTCTTCCCTGTGCAGCTGCTGGCAGTGGCTGTCATCATTTGCCTAGAGCTGGTGAGGTCTGCTGAAGGTGGTGTCTACTATGGGATCAAGCAGCTGCCACCCCAGGTACCCCAGTATCAACCCCTCGGACAACAAGTACCTCACATTCCACTTGGCAAAGAAGGCATCCCAATGCAGCACAT